GATATTAAAATCCCCTTTTTGCTATCCAGGATCACATAATCCATCTTACTTTTATCCCAGTTGTTCAAAGAAAAGTTGGACTGGATCAATTTTATCCAGGTCAAACCTTTCAAGATTACCAAATCTGGACAATGAGCACTCTAAATCAGACTGCATATCACACTGAAGGCTACTAGGTATGAAAGAAAAAACAGGTAGAATAGACAGCATAAGGTCACTCAAAGTATATTTATATGAAGGAACATGAACAGAAAATACAAACACCCCATTTTCATTATCTTTAGACCAGCCATAACATACCTGCTACACAGAAATAAAAAAAGCAAAATACATTCCATCCATCCATCCATCCATCCATCCATCCATCCATCCATCCATCCACTGCTTAATCCTCACAAGGGTCGCGGGGGGGCTATCCCAGCCGACTCAGGGTGAAGACAGGGGACACCCTGGACAGGTTGCCAGTCTATCGCAGGGCTACACTGTGTTGTGAAATGGCCTGGGTCTGTCCATGATGCACGTATCCTGAGGGAAAGCGCTCTATACAGAAGGCTCCAGGCCAACCGACCAGATGGCATAATATTAGGAGACAGCGCCTGTTCACTACTACCATGGCTGATGACCCCTTTTCTTGCACCAAACATACCTGAGCAGGCACACTCAAACACTGTTCATTCCAAAACAAGGTGTACTGTTGAGCGTTTAAATGAATTTCTGAAGAGACGCTTTGCTTGCCTTAACTACTTGCGAATGGAACCCCAAGGAGTGTGCAACATAGTACTCGCTTTTCTTGTCCTGCACAAAATTGCTACACAGCAGAATGTCCCTCTCTCTGATGAGGTTAATGATGCACCTGAGTCAGCTGAAAATGAAGACACATCGCTGACATTCCCTCAGAACGAGAGAGTGACTGGACATGCAGTACAGGCTGCCATTGTCAGAAACTATTTTTGAACAATGATCTTTGGACTGTAAATATTAAGGTTCCAATTAAAGTTAACATTGTTTTTTTTGTTGTTTTTTTTTTTTTCAATTTTGACAGCTATTAAGAGGATAATTTTACTTCTACTTTACAGGTCTGTAGTGTAAAGTAGTCTATAGTTTCAACTGTATGGTTTGAAAATAGGGTAAAAAATTATCAATAAATAAATCATGAATGTTGTCTATTGGACAAGTTTTAATTTTAAGTTAAATCGCATTTTATTCCTGAAATCCACCCTAAATCCACCAAACTGCTGGGATCAGAATAATCGTGACTTTTGGATCAAAGTTATCCCAATCTGACTACCAAGTTTTGAACAACACAAACTGAGGGTTTGATCCAGATTAAGACCAGGATTGGATTACATGATCTAATCCAATTTCAAAATCCATTTTTGGTTTGAACAACCCATTTTTAAGGTTTTATCCAATCCACTATCCAAAATCTGATCGGATTATCTTTGAACAACTGGCCCCAAGAGTACTACTTTACCAGTCAGTGGACCTTCTAGATACAGGGTGTGAGGTTATGGACTGGGTTACTGTGTTTCTGTTTTTTTCTTGCGTTTCTGTGTTTTGGTGGGCGTGTTATTTCTCTGCAGGCTGGGCGGAGCCGATCGGGTAAGGATGCTCTCGCACTGGCAGCTGTGGCATATCTGCTCATCAGCAGATGACCTTAAAAGTGATCATCTCACAGGACTCCAGCACCAGATGGCTATGATACCTACCCAGTGGTACAGTCAGGCCACTTAGCAGCTACACTTACGTCAAGCTTCTGCTAAGTTTGTTTTCAGAGTTTTTGAGTTAATCATGTTTTTATCTCTGTGTACCTCCAGCGTCCCTCCACGGCTCCAGCACCCAACTTTTCACCCTACACGCCAGCCCTCTTCCTCCACGAGCCCACATGACAGGAATCCACGGCCACGAGCACCCTAGAAGGATTGCCACTCGAGCACCTCCACCTGGAAACCTCCATGGGAAAACCACTCACGAGCACTGTCCCCTGAGCACCGTTTTCTCCAAGCACCGTCACCGGGATCATCCTCCACGACTTTCCCCCAGCACAGCCTCGGCGGAACCCTCCCACACGGACCTTAGCACCGATGACCTCTTTTCGGCACCCTCCACGACTGGCACCCCTGCACCGGATTCCTCTGCCTCCTGGTGCCCATCACTCCCCCACCTACCCTAACAAAAACCTGTTCCTTTAACCTTTTTCTCCGTTTCCCTTTCGTTCGGGTCCACACTCACAGTTGGTGGCCACGGGCCGTCACAACAGGGGTTTTTATCCTACTATCACTTGAGACAAATTCAAGTCAGTTTAATTGGGGTAAATATTTATGCAATCACTGATTTTCAACTTTAAAACAGTCAAATTAAATTGACCACGATTTAATGCTGAAGAGCAATAAAAAGGGAAAACTTCCCAGGGGGTGGATGCTTTTCATAGGCACTGTAGGTGAAGCACAAGATTCCATTCCACATACAAGGGCCAAGTTTCAAGGTAGAATAGACTGTCATCCAGTACTCACCTTAGGCTTTATGAAAGAGTAAAGAAAATCATATTCCAAGCATAAACAAGTTTAATTAGAATAACATATATCATCCATTTCCCTGTCAGCTGCCCTGCATCAAATGAGTTCACATTTTTGTGTATTTATGTTTTGAGATTAGCTGAATAGTCGAGTGACAGAAAACAATTCTGATAATCAAGTAATTGTTTCTATAATTTTTTAAAGCAGAAAGAGTGAAACATGCCAAATATCTTCAGATCTTAGAATCTCAAAAGCAAAGATTTGTATCTCATTAACTATTATTTTAAATTGAAGATTTGGAAGGGGCTTGGACTTGTTAAACTTGTGAACATGTCACATTCATGTGAACTAAAAAATAAATAAAAACTTGCAAATTACTAAAAATATATTTAGAATTTTGTTAATAACCATCAGATCAATTAGTTTATTTCATTCTTAGAAGTCTGTAATATAAGAATGTATTTCTTTCTAAAAAGCTGAAGGCACCACCAGAGTAATACTGAGAAGCTGAGCTAAGACAAATTATCAGAGACTCACTCTTCCAGAAAATTCTGTTGTGGTCCAATCACAGAGCCTGGTCTGCAGATCCTGATCCAGGCGATGGCCTCGCCTGCCGTGAAGCGGTAATGTTTCATCAGGTAACAGCCAATCAGAGTGCCTGTTCTACCCAGACCAGCTGGCAGAGAGAGACAGAGGGGACACAGAGAGTCAGCAGAGCAGTATCCTAGAATAAACTTGACAGTCTAGACTCCTTCAGGTTTCCTCTTATTTATTTGGATCTGGAACACTGAACAGAGCTGCAGATGAGCACAGTTATTTGCTTCACTTCAAATATGAGTAAAGTCCAATCTCTGCAAAGCGACACTGATACAACCAGAGCCGAGTCTGACAGATGAGGCCTACATCTGAACAAATCCTGAACCAACAGCTACCACATCTTTCCTACAGCTACAAGTCTATAAACCAGTCTTGACCAGGACATTATGATCAAGTTTTCAGGACCTGATCCTGATTTGAGTTCTTTAATACTGGCTATGTCTGATATCAAGTCCAACTGAATTAATCTTATAGACCTAAATGTTATGATTAAGGTCTATTAGACAAGCCGCAGTACCAGCTGTAGTCTTCAAAAGACAAAGACCAACTACTCTTAACAATCTTCCGCTATTATTAAGCTACTGGCTCATCACTATAGTCCAAGTGATGAGCCCCCTGCCCCCTGCCCCCTGCCAGACACACTGACAACTGCACCTCACATCTGTGAAGGCAGGATAGACTGAAGAGAAAACGGACATTACACAGGACGCACTAGAGAACAACAAGACATGAGTAGAAGGGACAGGCAGAACCAGACAGGGGAACATTAGGACAGGTAGTCCCTTACCCTTGCAGTGCACAGCCACAGCGCCCTCCGTGCTCTCACAGATGTGCAGGAAGCGACGTGTGATGATGTCATTGGGCGTACTACCATCTACATAGAAAAGGTCATAGTGGTCGAAGCCAGCGTCAGTGAAGCGTTTGGCATCGTAGATCTTCTTGTTCAGACGAATGATGGTGGTCACCATGTGCTTCCTAAAGTATGGGAAGTAAGCCTCGGGGGCATGCAGAGGGTAACCTGTGGAGGTTGGAGCAAACAGAGGTGTTAATAACACAATTTACCCCATATTTCGCAAATGCAGCATTAAGGTTGCTAAAGTCATTTCCTTCTCAGCGTCTGATGGTATCAGCTTTTTCCAACTTTTCATTAAATCTACATGATGACTACATTAAAAGAAAACCATCTCACAAGCTGGTCTGCTTTTCTACATTCGTGGTACTCAAAGCGCTTTACAATGTTTCCTCATTCACCTGTTCGACAGAGCTTCCATTAAAGGTGCTGCCTGCCATCGGGAGCAACTTCGGGTTCAGTGTCTTGGCCAAGGACAATTCTACTGTGGAGGGTGGGGGGATCAAACCGCCAACCTTAGAGGACAAACGCTCTACCACCTGAACTCGTCTGCTTTAGGTCACTCAAGGCCAACTCACCTTACCCTCTCAGCTCAAATCATTTTCTACATTAACAAAGCTTCTACATTTTCAGTTAAAAAGTGGGATTTTCAGTTCCAAAGCTATATTCTGTAAGGTCTGTAGCTCGCAATTTTAAACAGATAAAAGAATATCAATGAGATACAAATCTTTGCTTTTGAGATTCTAAGATCTGAAGATATTTGGCATGTTTCACTCTTTCTGCTTTAAAAAATTATAGAAACAATTACTTGATTATCAGAATTGTTTTCTGTCACTCGACTATTCAGCTAATCTCAAAACATAAATACACAAAAATGTGAACTCATTTGATGCAGGGCAGCTGACAGGGAAATGGATGATATATGTTATTCTAATTAAACTTGTTTATGCTTGGAATATGATTTTCTTTACTCTTTCATAAAGCCTAAGGTGAGTACTGGATGACAGTCTATTCTACCTTGAAACTTGGCCCTTGTATGCGGAATGGAATCTTGTGCTTCACCTACAGTGCCTATGAAAAGCATTCACCCCCTGGGAAGTTTTCCCTTTTTATTGCTCTTCAACAATAAAATTGTGGTCAATTGTCAACATTTTGCAGTTTTGTTGGGATAAATAAATGCAGCATTTGGGTATTACATCCAACCTGTAAACAGGGTGTGAGTAAATCTACAGCTGCCAGCCTGTCAGTGTGATGACACATTAAATATAGTGCTAAGACTTGCTAGAATAACTCCTTTATCACTGCAGCTGACCGACAGCCGATGGAACATGCTCACTTACCGTTCTCTATTTTAGTTTTAGGATGAGGTCCACTGAAGGCAAGAAACTTCCCCGGGACAATCCAGTTCAAGTCTCCATTCTCCACCCGCTAGCACCAGAGACCCAGGTTACATTACAGCAAGGTTTTAATAGATATTGACAATAAAGTGCCTGCATTTTTAAAACACATCAGGTTAACAAAATAAACTAGATCAAACATTTTGATTAAGGATGACTTTTTGCTCTTATTAGCCACTGATTATGAACACTGAAGCTCTGAATATTCTGTAATGATGCTTTCTGTCCCTCTTCTGATTTAGATGAAACTAAATCAGTTGCTCTGTTAACCTGACTCTACTCTGGTCATCCTGAGGGGGGCGTGCCACAGCTGTATTTTCTGAATACTGTCACAACATATGAGAATGCTTTTAACTTAATTTTTATTTTTACTGCTTCAGAATGAATGAATTTTTTTAAAATCTCTTTTCATGAGCCTTTTTTGTGCTTGTTCCTAATAATAGGCTGAGAACATCTCTTGACAGCTTTTCCTTCTTCTAACTGAAAATTATTTATGACTGCCGCTTCATGAAGAAGACAAACTGTGGTCTCGTGTATCTGTAAAGGTGTTATAATGGCTGGTTTCAGTGTTCTCACTGGTGCTGGTTTTTACCTCATAATGTTCATACTCATCCACATCAAAGGTCTCAAAGTCAAAGAACCCATGCTGTAGAGCCTGAAACACACAATGGCACAGACTGTAAACAGATTAACAAACAATCTATAATTATTCTTGAATTATTAATAATATTAACAATGATTTCCTTCTTTTCTAAAATATACATTTTCAGGCATATTTGCCCTTTTTTGACAGACTGGCACAAAGGAGAGGACAGGAGAGAGCAGGGGAATGACACGCAACCAATGTCCTGGCCAGGCTTCATACCAGTTGTCATGCCTCTATTATTTAAGTTTTAATTTAGTGTGTTTATTTCTAAATAATTCAGTTGGGTTTGCTAGGTGAGCTGCCGCTTTAAGAAAGTTAGGAAGGCAAGGGAACAAAAATCAAAAAAGGAACCCGCAAGGGGAAACGCAGCTTCTTTCTCTCCTCCTGTGTTCTGGCAAAACTACTAGTTACATCTTGTCTGTTCGTGGCATTGTCAGTATGTAACTTTCTTTTATGTTTAATAATGACATTTGGTACATTTCTATGGTGGAAAGTTCATGGTTTAGTATGTAAAGATTCATGATTTATGTTTGGCTCCTGCAGGTTAGCTTGGGTGATGATTTCATTTGTGGTCTTATGCTGCCATCTTGTGGCCATTCTGAGTTACTGTTTTTCGCTATGTAAATTATAATGACGCTTCTGCAGGAAGGCTGTTTCTTGGCTTATTATTATGTGAAGCAGACTGTCAGAGTCTATTATGTTTAATAGGGAAATCTTGTTTCTGTGTAATGATATAAGTTTAATTGATGATTCAATTAATTTTACTTCATGTAATTTCCTTTTGTATTTTTTGTATTCCTTTAGTCTTCCCCTTTCAATTGTCAATAAACATGGGTACGAGCAGTCATCCTGGTGTCCAGAGTGGTGATAACCGAGAGGTGTTGAAGCTACTGTCTTCATGTACAGTGTGCTTAAGGAAGGCAGGATACCAGGGATCCACCACTGAGGTCATACAGGTGACATGTGCGCCCTAACCACCTAGCCATTGGGTCACCTTGTTAACACAGATTTTATCCAGCATTGTATTTTCATACAATAAACAGATGCAAATCAAATTTAAATTTATCAGAAGCTAAGAATAAATATAGTTAACATTACAAATGAACAATACAGAAAACAAGAACAATACACATGTCGAAAACAAAACTTTGTATGACTCATTTTGGCAGCTTTAAAAAACATTCATTTTAAAATCTGTAATTATGATGACAGAGATGTGTAAAATGATAAAGTAATTGACTGATTATATGCCTCACAGGCATCAGCATCATCCCAAAATTTTAAAACTTTTAGGATTTAGGAGATTTTTGACCTTATGTTTGAAGAATCTAATTAAAGACCTCTAATGACTTAAAAATCCATAGAAAGTAGTTATTTATATTTCAGAGAAGAAAGGCAGATGAATATATTTTATTAATAGAGCTTACACAACTAAAGCATGGCAACATAAAATCTCTTCGCATGACTGATAAACGACATAAAACCAGAAAGGACACAACTTGACAAATCACTGACAAAAAGCAAATTAGAGCGGACAAGGCGAGCGTGCAGTGACTGTGGTTGCTTTAAAGTGAAGTTTCAAGATCCCATGCAAAAAACAAGGAAAATCAGTGCATATCTAATGTAAAGATTTTCCAGAACTGAAAAACTCCAACACGTCCACCTGTGTGTCCATGCATGCTTCCATCAGTCAAAGACACGTCATGTAAGGGAAAAACATCAAAATCTGCCAACTAAATCGTTACCAAACAATTTCTTCACCAATATGTTTGTAAAGGTGTGTAATAACATGCCTTAAAATGTTGAAGTTCAACTCCTGTGGGAAACCCTGAAAAAAACCCTGCTCAACTTAGGGTACCGACAACCGATTGACGAAAAATCGATTTTTTTTAAAATTGGGCCTTAAGTAACTTATGTGGGGTCAAATCAGGGTTTTTTCATGATTCTGAGTTGATTGTTAGCATTTATATTTCACCACAAACACTCCATTGTTGAAAAAGGCCACACTCACTTTTACATTTACATTCACAGTAGTTTTTATTTCACATACTTACAATACTCAAAAAAAATAAAGGAAACACTAAAATAACACATCCTCGATCTCAATGAATGAAATATTCCAGTTGAAAATCTTTATTCATTACATGGTGGAATGTGTTGAGAACAAAATAACATAAAAATGATCAATGTAAATCAAAATTATTACAAAATTATTTATGGAGGTTTGGATGTGGAATCAGGAAGCATTTTTATTCAATCAATTGTTATGACCCTGTGCGGGTCATCTGTGGTGTTGTGTTTTTGCTGCTTTCTTCTCTCCTCAGTGTGTGTGCGTGGTATGAACTAATGGATTAGGAGCAGGTGGTGACCCTGGATTGGCTGTCTCACCTGCTGCCGCGCCTGATTTCAGCCACGCAATTGGTCAGAGGGCGGGCCAATCCACTATTTGAACAGCCCGCCAGCTGCACTCGTTCTCCTCACCTCCAGCCTCGCCACCTCAGAGAAAGCCAGCAGGCCATCGCAACTGCTCTGCAGGAGGATGCAGCAGTAACGTGTTTGTTCCAGGATCGTGTGCAACAGATCCCGAGTCTTGTAGTGACTCTTTGTAAAAATTGTAGTTGGAGAGCAGAGTAGGAGGGAGAGGCCTTTTTCTTTTGAACCTTTTTCGCCTGTTTTTTGTTTACTAGGTAGGTAGGTAGGTTATTGTCTTTTATTTGCGTTTCTTTTTCAACTGGGAAATTAGGGTTACTGTAGGGTATGTTTTGTTTATTATTTTGGCCTATGTTCCCCCTCTACATTGTAAAAAATAAAAGAAACTGCTCATTTTGATACCTAGCTTGTCGTGATTGCTGGCCTTCTTTGAGGTGGAAAGACTGGTGTGGAGCAAAATATCATGTTATGCTCAAGGTTCCCCTAGACCAGGGCATAACACAATTGAACCTGTAGAACCACCCCTTTATAGGGGTTGTCCTGCTAACTGCCTCTCATTTCCACCTGTTGTCTGTTCTATTTGCACAACAGCAGGTGAAATTGATTCACCATTAGTGTTGCTTCCTTACAGGACAGG